GGTGACGACAGAGGTCATGGCGGAGGTGATGACAGAGGTCATGGCTGAGGTCATGGCTGAGGTCATGGCAGAGGTCATGGCGGAGGTGACGACAGAGGTCATGGTGGAGGTGACGACAGAGATCATGGCGGAGGTGATGACAGAGATCATGGTGGAGGTGACGACAGAGGTCATGGCGGAGGTGATGACAGAGGTCATGGTGGAGGTGATGACAGAGGTCATGGCTGAGGTCATGGCAGAGGTCATGGCGGAGGTGATGGCAGAGGAGACAGCAGATGGTGTCTGGTGAGCACATCCCTTGTGTCAGACCCTGCCGCTCCCACTGCTCCCTTCCATCCACTCTGTCTCAAATGAGTATAGGAATTGTCTAGTCTGGTGGTCCCCAAAGTAGACCAGCACTCGGGTGCTGGGGGTTCCTTTGTGAGGTGATCTTGGAGGCAAGAGTGGGAGGCAGGGAGAAGGCGTCAGGAAAGGAGTCAAGTCAAGAACAGGAGTCAAGTCAAGTGCAGGATCAAGTCAAGCACCAAGATTGCAGGCAGAGGGCTTCACTGCCTCCCAGGACCTTGACGATTTCCTCCTGCCCCTTCACCGCCCTGTCTTCTACCTCATCTGGCCCCGTGCCTTTTCCCCTCTGTGTTCACCGTACGTACAACAAACCTCCAATCTTCCCCAAAACAGACACAGCCCGTGGATTTGTCTGTTGTTACTTTACCCACATCCTGCGCGTACCGTGTAGAAAGGTGTTATTTACTAGGAGATCTTGAGCGAATAAATAAAGGTCTCTCTGCTTCCATTTTTACACTTGGAAACGGGAACAGTAATATTTCCAGAACATATTTCTTGCAAGAAGTTACTAAGATTAATGTTATCAAATATTAAAAGGCATGGGATTTCTCTATAGAAAGAAAAGATTTTGTATTAGTCTATGGTATTCCTCCTTCCTGGTTTATGACCAGATCTCCTGTTGAGTGCTTCAGCGTTGCGGTATGCATGTGCGCTAATTCATGTGTTTCACTGAGAAATGTCACGGCGATACCAGAGGAAGATGAGCAGGCTAGCAGAAGAGCATGGATTCTCGTCATGGCTCTTCCTTGGACAATTGTTCAATGGCTACAAATGTCGACACCTTCATCTGCAAAACAGGGAAAGTAATATTTGCCCTCCTTCCCCCAAGGCCAGTCCCGATGACTCTTGAGAACAGGTGCATCGAGCACGTGAAGACAGTCTCATGAACGCTATGCAGATACCGATCACAGCCGTAACTGTGTGTGCACACGTGTACGTGTATTGCGATGTGTGGCATAAACGGGAGCTTTGTCTTTAAGCTACTTGGAGGACTTTTTATTGTTATTACCTTATAGTGAAATAAGAAAATTACGTCTGGGGCACTGGCTGGCTCAGTCGGTTAAGCGTCCGACTTCGGCTCAGGTCACGATCTCATGGTTCATGGGTTCGAGCCCCACGTCGGGCTCTGTGCCGACAGCTCGGAGCCTGGAGCCTGCTTCGGATTCTGTGTTTCCCTCTCTCTGCCCCTGCCCAACACATGCTCTGTCTCTCAAAAATAAATAAGCATTAAAAAAAGAAAAAGGAAAAAAAGAAGAAAAAATTACCTCTGTTGGACATTGTTAGCCCGTCGGACACATGTAATGGCGACAGATTGTCAATTCCATGGCTGGTGATTATTTATAGCAAATGTTTATGGATAGTTATACTTAAATGTAACTACACCCATTGTTCTCTTTTTAACGTGTATTTATTTTTGAGGGAGAGAGAGTGCAAGCAGGGGAGGGGTAGAGAGAGAGGGAGACACAGAATCGGAAACAGGCTCCAGGCTCTGAGCTGTCAGCACAGAGCCCGACACGGGGCTCAAACTCAGGAACCTTGAGATTATGACCTGAGCCGAAGTCAGACGTTTAGCCAACTGAGCCACCCGGGCGCCCCTGCATCCAGTGTTATAACTGGTTTAAATCTGTGGGACAATCATTATTTTCGCTTCTCCCTTTGGAAGGATATCATTTTGACTAAAATACCATTTCATTACATTATATGCACCATTTAACATTTCCACGTTTGAGTTCTCTTTGGATGTAAAATCTTTAATCCGCTATAAGCCTGGAATGAGCCACCAAGTCGATGATAATTAAGATTTAAAAATCACTCACATACTTTAAAAGCTGAACGTGAACACGTGACCCCAAAATGCTAAGAATCGGCCGGAACAATGGTGAGGTTTTGCCGTGAGAGGACACAAAGGAATTTTACTCGGGAGCCTGTTTGAATCAGCTTTGATCATCCTCCCTTTCCCCTCCCTGTGATCTGCCCTTACAGGATGTCGTATCCAAGATGCTCCACGTGGACCCTCATCAGCGCCTGACGGCAGTTCAAGTTCTCAAACACCCATGGATCGTGAACAGAGAGTACCTGTCCCAAAACCAGCTCAGCAGACAGGACGCCCACCTGGTGAAGGTACCGACAAATGGTCGGGGGGGCACAACAGTGGGGTGGGGAACACAGAGGCGTGGCCCTGAGACCTCCCAGTTCACCCGAAGAAATCACAGTGTGGGGGCCAGGTGGGGAACCGATCACAGGCGTAGCACGTATCCCTCATTTCTTACTTCCACACGTTTCTTCACCGACGAGCCACCACATGCAAAGCTCTGAATAAGCTACCACGTCTGTGAACAACCCTGAACAGCTTCATTGTGTGCGTGTGTGTGTGTGCACGCACCCGTGTGCATATGAGACCGAGACGGAGAGAAAGTGGGAGAGAGACAGACAGACAGACAAATGGGGTGGAGAGTGGGAGAGAAGGAGGGAGAGAGGGATGTGGATGGAGTCCTACATCTGTACCAATTCAAGGTTCCAAAGCCCTTCATTCTAATGATTTTTTGAATGTTTATTTATTTTGGCGGTGGGGGTGGGGGGTGGGAGCACACAAGCAGGGGAGGGGCGGAGAGAGACAGAGAATCCCCAGCAGGCTCCACACTGCCAGCACGGAGCCCAAGGCGGGGCTCGATCCCACAGAGCATGACATCACGAGCCGAGATCAAGAGTCGGTCGCTTAACCGACTGAGCCACCCGGGCGCCCCAGCCCTCAATTCCGGATCAGAGGCCTGCAGACTTGACTGTAGAGGCCCAGACTGTGAACATCTGAGGCTTTTCGACTCAGGTGTCTCTGTCACTACGCCTCGGATGTCCTGCCGTAGCACAGAACCGATATGCAGGTGGATGGATGCAGTTGTGTTTCAGTAGAAGTTTATCTACAAGAGCGGGGGCCCTGGGCTGGGCCCCAGCGCGGTCGTCTGCTGACCCCGCCGTTCACCACAACTGCTTCCCTCGGCTTCCTGGGACGTGTCCCACAGCACACGCAATGTGGAGTCTGGCTGCGCCCCCTAGGCGAGCGCGTCCCGACGCCCGCGAAAGAGACACAAGGCTGTGGAGGGAACGCCATCAGGACGCGGCCAGCAGCAGTGAGAGTGTCCCCCCAGGGATCAAAGGGTTTTAGCGGACAGAATAGCTGCTCCTGTAACTCCTGTCCCTCCATCGACCCTTGCCATCGGGCGATCCCAGCCTTGCTTTTCTTGACCTTCCGGTACAACTGTTCTGATGGAAGCCACGTGTCATTGCACGTAACCGTGGCAAGGCAGTGGCTTCTGGCCACCTGGGTCGTGATTCACCCACACCCCGCTGGGCAAACCAGATAGACTGGGGGGCATCCAGAGAACCGGTGGGTGGGGGGGG